CAGGATGCTTTTACAGACACATCATCAAGAGCTTGATTTTGGAATAATGTCTGCTGCACTTTCAAATGAATATATTGAATGCAGGTAGTAAGGTAAATTAGGTATTACAGATGTGATGTAGAGAGTTTATCAATAATGTTTGAAGGGAGAGAAGGGAGATCTCAATTTTTTCAAGTTAGTGATGAAATGGTTTATGATGGTGTTGATGTGTTTTTTGGGCAAAGGAAATTGATGAATCTCAAATAATTTATATTTTATCCATCTTAAGTCAGTTATCAAGATTTGTTGTTATGTGGTTCTGACAATTTGTAACATATTGCCATGCAGCAGAGGAGAGAAGTTGTCCTAATGATTTTTTATTTGCCCAACTCATTCCTTGAGGTTGATATTGTGTATAGAGGGCATCTCGAATATTATTTATGATGGGTTCATTGGTGGTGTCAGGGGTGTTTTGGGATGTAGTTACAGCTTGGAAACATTGCCTTATATACTTGAAAGCACCTTCACTCGTGTTGAAAGGAAATTGATCACCAAGGGTCACATGATAAAGTGCTGTTTGGTTAGCCAATCAAGAGCCTTCAAAAAAAATTCGAGTCATTCTTTCAACAGTGCTTTGGATTGCAGGCTTAAGATCTTTATCTTTAAGGAATCCTCCAAGTCCAGTTTTTACTGTGCATTGTTTGTATTTTGTGTTTTTTTCTTGAACAGATTTGGATGCATGATGGTTTTGAAATTTACAAAGGTTGATTGAAGAACATGAATGATCAGTCCCCTTACAAGTTGGACAAGGATGTTCTAGATATTTAAAAAAGGAAAATATTATATACAGAAAGGTTCTTTTTATGGAATATACAGAACCCTACCAAAAATAGCAATTCATTCTATAAAAAAGGAAACTAAATTGTAGCTCAAAATTTTTGTAAAACCAATGTGACATTTATCACAGACGTGATGATTAAATTTGTGGGCTGGGGGTGGCAGGAATTACACAGTGTTTACCAACTCTAAGAATTAATCCTTATTTGTCACGTAGGTTCTGTATATAATATTACCCTTTAAAAAAAATATATTAAGTGATATTCCTAAAAAAAATAAAGGCAGATAAATGGTAAATATTTACTTGATTTTTTTTTTTTTTTTTTGTTCTTTGTTTATGTCCTCATTTGCTTTTCTTTTAGCTGCATTTTTAGAAGATTCTGCATATGGTATATCTGTTTCTATATTAATATTTTTGTGTTTTTTTTTGCAAGAATCTCTACTTTGTCATCATTGGGAGCTTTTTGTTTGCTTGTGTGTATTAACATTGAAATGATAAAACAGAATTGACAAAATTCTAATCGTGAAAAAAAAAAATGGTTGAGAAAAAAGTCTTTTTTTTTGGTTTAAAATGTTCTTTTGATTTCTTATAATGGATGATGATATTGTATTATTTGCCAAAGGAATTGGAAGGAAATTGAATAAATTTTTTTTTTGAAAAGATTGAAAAAATCACATCATTTGTTTACTTTTTATAAGAAAAGCATCATTTTATTATTAATTAATTGACAATTGAATTGTTTATTGTTTATTAGCTAAAGATGCTATTACTATTACTATCATTTATCCTGTTTTTGGATTGTATCATTGATTTGTTTATTACTAAAAATAAAACATGCATTTAATTGAGTTGATTATTTGTTTATTA